GGCTCGGTGATTACAAGCCTATATTCACTTCGCCTTCGGCTCAGTGAATATAGGCTTGTAATCACCTCGCCTTCGGCGACTAATTGTTAAATAGAAAGGTGGCAACCTCGCAAGCCAGGGTCTTTTACTTCCGCACGGCGCGTAGCCCGAGCGCAGGTAAAAGACCCTGGCTTGCGAGGTTGGAAAGGTGGCTGCTTATTTATAAACAAAATATAGAGGCCTATAGTTCTGCCTGGGTTTTTACAATAGCGAGCACCAAGATCCCGAGGGTGGTACTCATATATATGTGTATATATTCTGATTTCATAAATCTTCATGCAGGCAAGCCTTTGCAAATCATTACTGCTGCGTGGTTTGAGACTTCGAAGAATATTCATAGATTCTAACGCAATAGTGAAGAGCTAAAAAGCGTATCTTGTAAAGTGTTGTAATTCTCAGGATACCTTAAATCATTAATTATGTTTGTTAGTTTAAATATCGTTGAAAATAGTGACAAGTCCCAAACCTACCATTAATAGCCATAGTTTGTCAAATTTGGGAATTCCGTATCCTGCTCGATGTTCGAGGATGATGTCATCGATGCAAGGCGGGTATGCAAAATAGCTATAATTCGGCGAAGCGCACACATTATTTATTACGACTATATCATATGTTGCTCACAACAATAACTCCACTAACATTATGCAGTCAAGTGTATACTGGATGGGAAACGTGATGAATCTTCACACCTACATCTCTCTTATGGTATGTTATTATGGGCCTTATTATTAGCATGACAAAATTACTGGATGCTGATTGGTTGAGAGGAGTACAATTATTTCATTAATTGTACTGCAGTACAATTGATGATTTTCTCAAAACAAACAAAATGGCGGAAAGGTATTTTAAACACAAATGTGAAATGAAATTGCTGTGGAGGAACTAGATGAAAATACGAACAAAAGCACTAAATTTTGCTTGAACAAAAGAACTAAATGAAAATACAAACAAAAGCATCAAATTTTGGTTGAAAGTCCGGCAGGACTGGGCTTTGCCGAGAGAATATGATGTTGACATTGAGAAGTACGTATCCAATTTTGTCATGCTAATAATAGACGAGTAATCATTTAATCCCTAATTGTACTCGCCATCGCATGATTACCTATACATATTATCGACGACTACCACACATTAACATGTATTTTCATGAACCCAGCGACTTAGCGTCGACGAACCTGGAGACTCACGACTGTACCCTGAGATTTGTCACCTCTGTACCTGGTGTCATATTGTCCATGTAAACATCCTTATTTTAAAGTCAGGACACATATTGACAACAGATTTATTATCTCTATCAATCGATCTATCTATCTTAATAGTCTGTCACACCAGTAACATCAATCTTTATGTTATACACTATATATTATGAATATGGAAGATGCGCGGCCAGGATTACACATAATGAATCACAGCGCACAACCCTCAAAGAGCGATAGTCGCCAGTATCGACACGGAATTCTACAACACCTCGAAATTTCACACAGCAATTCAACCACCTCTGCAAAATCAAAATGGTTACACTATGAAAAACTCAGCAGAATTCGCTTTATAGAATTCGCTATTTACCTCATCTGTGGTTGAGCGTACGTTCATACAATCAACTGAAGCGAGATATTTAGTGAAATTTCTTTTGTATTCTTCGTGTAAAAGTTATAAAAACTGTTATATCTAAACATTGTGAGTTATTGTCGGATAACAAGCAAAAATTCCCGACAAAGTGGCGACCCCAAGCAAGATTTTAACATCAAAAAGCAGCGAATATCGTACGTGAAATATAAATCGTGTTTAGCTAAAAGTGAAACCAGAGAAAAATCGATCGTTAAAGATGTCAACAGTGAAAGATTTGTTGAATAAAGTGGACGGTAAGCTTCGAATGCTGAAATTTACAAGTGATGAGACCCCTAGTGTTTTGGAAAAGAATAAATAAAAACACATTGAGAGACATGCCAAAGTTTTAGAATCGTTAATCAAGAAAGTTCATGAATTAAAAGTGGAAGTTCAGAGAGAGAGAATTGAGAAAGGGTGATCGCTAGATAGTACTGTATACTTCAAAATAAGGTTTCCGTTTTTATAACGTAGAAAAAACTATCCTAACGCAAAACTAAACCCTAACCCTAATACTGATACTAATACTAACTCCAACCCTAACCTGATCCTAACCTAACTCTAACCTAACCCTAGCTTACTTTAAAAATTGATATAAAAACGGAAATCTTATTTTGAAGTATACTATCTAGCAATTGCCATTGAGGAAAGGGGATGACCCCACGGAAGTTAGAACATGGAGCCGTGACTTAGAACAAATAGTACTTCAGTTTGAAAATGTTATCAGCGAAGTGAAACAGCAGCGTGAGAAACTGTGCGAAATAGAACTCAAGAAAGCTAAAAATGAGGAGACAGAAATTGAAGAAGAAAAGCGTGGGAAGCGTTATGATGAAGAGATGGCACTAGAGGAGGCTAAATTGGAAAGGAAATGAAACGAAAGTTTGAAAAAGGATTTAATAGAGGAAGCTAAAACGAAGTCTGCAAGCCAGTGTAATTCTGCCAAGCTGCCCAAGTTAGTTATATCTAAATTCCAAGGAACCCACCTGGACTGGCAGAGATTCTGGGGGTAATTCGAAACAGAAATTGACAAAGCAGATATCAGCCCTATTACCAAGCTGTCATACCTTAAAGAGCTGCTTCTTCCCAAAGTTCGTGCATTTGTTGATGGTCTGCCCTTTTCTACTGAAGGTATGAAAGAGCAAAAACTATCCTAAAGACGCGGAATGGGAAAGAAAGTGAAGTTGCAAATGCCAACATACAAAATATTATTTCCTTGCCAACCGTACCTGGGACTGATGCAAAGAAAATCAACCGTTTCTTTGAAACACTGGTTGCAAATACACAAACATTAGAAACCATGTGGAAGCTGAAAGAAGTAAAGGGTTTTGTACGAAGCACTTGGACAAATTACCAGGTATACCAGACTTAGTTCGGATGATGATTGGCAAGAGTGGGGGTTTAGCGAGTTGGTAGAAGCACTGCGAAAATGGTGTGTGAGGAACCCCATATCAGAGGAAGATCGTAAGTCGGATCACAAGGGTACCAGCCAAACATCCCAAACAGGAGTTGTGGAAACCGAAGCCGTGTGTGTTCTGTGAGTCAACCCTACACAAATCTGTAGACTGCAACCAAGTTGTGGACGTTCCATCTCGAAAGAAGATCTTGTCAGAGAAAAAGCTATGCTTCAACTGCACTGGTGTCAAGCACCGAGCATCCGAATGTCGAAGTAAAACAACTTGCTTTCGGTGTAATGCGAAACACCACACCTCTATATGTGATGACCAAGCGAGTGTATCTAAACAAATGATGTTGGCTACTGGTAAAGGGACGGTGGTATATCCAGTTGTTGTAGCGGTTGTTGATGGAATAAAATGTAGAGCCCTCTTGGATACAGGGGCTGGCAGTTCTTATATCTCTGCAGAATTGGTAAAGCTCCTAAAGAAACAGCCTTCACGAACTGAATACCGGCGTATTGACATGATGATGTCATCGACAACCCAGAGAACTGAAATCTACAATGTGACTGTAGCTGATGTTAGAGAAAAGTTTGAAATGAAAACCCAAGTGAGCAAGGTTGCCAAGAGCGTTCTCCTGTCTATACCCAATCCTGGTTATGCTGATATCCTTTCCCAGAACCACCATCTACGCGGAGTCAAGATGGGCGACGAAGACACGAAAGCTGAATTACCCATTCACTTCATCCTTGGGGCAGGTGATTATTCCCCAATCAAAACTACTATCAAGCCTAAATTGGGTCAGCCTGGCCAACCAATTGCCGAGCTCACCTTCTTGGGTTGGACAATAGTGTCAGCTGGAGAGGAAGTCGATTTCAGCAATGTTTATCTTACCAAATCGTCTGCTGCAGACTATGAGGAGCTGCGTTCCCTGGATGTTTTGGGTCTCAAGGACCACCTGGAACCGGATCAGCAGTTCGTTTATAAGGAATTCCAAGAGCAATTAACACAGAGTGGTGAGGGATGGCATGAAACTGGTTTGTTGTGGAAACCTGGTCATGAGCCATTACCAAGCAATGAAAGAAACAGTTTAGGACGGTTGTCAGGGTTATTGAAAAAGCTTCGAAGAGATCCAGAGTTGCTGACTCAATATGACAACATTATTCGTGACCAACTGAATCAAGGTATTGTGGAGAAAGTCGCTAACGACCCGGTAGGAAAGGAATTTTATCTACCTCACCGACCAGTAATCCGAAAGTCTGCTGAGTCCACCAAGTTGCGGATCGTGTATGATGCGTCTTCCAAGGAAAGTGATAGCAGTCCATCATTAAATGACCGTTTGGAGACGGGCCCACCATTGCAAAATCTTTTATGGGATGTCTGAAACCAGTCGCATTGAGTGGAGACCTTAAGCAAGCCTTTCTTCAAGTTCGAGTACGTGGCCAAGATAGAGATTCACTAAGATTTCATTGGATCAAGGACAAGGAGTTGTCAACTGTTGAAGTCTTAAGATTCACTCGAGCGCTTTTTGGCCTCGTCCAGTCACCATTCTTTCCGGGAGGGACTATTCAATGTCTCTTGGAGAGTATGCGTCAGAAGTACCCTACCGAAGTTGCGGAAATCGAGAAAAGCCTCTACGTACATGATGTCATTAGTGGTGGAGAAACTACAGAAGCAGTCCATAGTTTGAAAGCAAAGGCAGTAGAAATTTTCGAGCGAGGGAAGTTCACTTAACACAAGTGGCATTCCAACAAACCAGATTTGGAAGGGGGATCCAGCCCTCAGAAGTTAGTAAAAGTTATGCCAAGGAACAGCTTGGTGTCAAACCCGGTGAAGCAAAACTATTACGACTCCCCTGGAATAAAGCAAAGGACACGATCGCCACAGTCTTTCCAAAGAACATGCCTGTTACAACCAAAAGAGAAATGCTGCGATTTCTGGCTTCCATCTACGATCCCCTTGGCATAGTTTCTCCCATATCGCTTGTTGGTAAACTCATCTACCGTGATGTATGTGATCAACGTTGGCCTTGGGATGCAGAGTTGTTGCCCGAGATATCTAACCGTTGGAGAAAATTAGAGAATGCCCTACCCGAAAAGGTTGAAGTACCACGCAGCATCACCGTCTTTGAGGAGCCGATTGAAGCAGTCCATCTTCACGCGTTTGGTGACACCAGTTCAGAAGGTACGTGTGCAGCAGTGTATGCAGTTGCGCACCAGCAATCGGGAGTCAATCAAGGTTTAACAGCTGCTAAGTCGAGACTTGCGAAAAAGAATTTGACTATCCCACGATTAGAGCTGGTATCAGCACACATGGCATCAACCCTTGTTGACAATGTCAAGAACGCTCTGAGTTATCCAGTTACGTCAGTCTTTGGTTGGTTAGATAGTACTACTGCCCTTTATTGGATAAAGTGAAACGGCAACTACAAACAGTTTGAAGTGGAGTAGTTCGTGAAGAAATTCACCGAAAGACAGATCGAAACGGAACAATTTAAGAACGAACAGCTAAGGCTTAAACTTCAAAGAAACGTAAACGGTCTTTTTGAAGGTAGAGGAAGAATCCAAGGCTTGTATCGAATATATGTACCACCTGGCACGTTGCTCAGTGAGAAAATGATCGAAGATGCCCACGTTCAAACGTTACATGGGGGAGTTGGGTTGACAATGGCTTTGATACGTCAGCGACACTGGATACCGAGACTTCGTCAGTCAACGAAGAAAGTGATTGCGAGCTGCTACGGGTGCAAACGATTCCAGGTAACAGCCTATCATAACCCACCAGTTGGAAATCTACCGCTCGACAGAACTGTTGGATCAACACCTTTTGAAGTCCTCGGTGTCGACTATGCAGGCCCCCTCATCTATAAGATCAATAAGACGAAAGATGGTAAAGCGTATATCTTGCTCTTCGCTTGCAGCCTCACTCGTTCTATTCATTTAGAGTTACTTCCTGACCAAACTACCGAGAATTTTATCAAAAGTTTCAAGCGATTTATTGCACGAAGGGGACGTCCGCGGAAAGTTTACTCGGACAGTGGTAAAACTTTTGTTGCAGCGGCGAAATGGATCAGTAAGATAATGAAAGATGAACGCTTTCAAGACTACCTGGCCAATCAACAAATCGTGTGGTAATTCAACTTGAGCAAAGCCCAATGGTGGGGCGGCCAATTTGAGAGAATGGTAGGACTTGTTAAGAGAGCGCTGCACAAGACGATTGGTCGAGCAAATCTGAGATAGGACGAACTCGAAGAAGTTATCTTGAATGTCGGATTAAACAATCGACCGCTAACTTACCAAGAAGATGATGTCCAGTTACCGACTTTAACGCCAAATGTTATGATGTTCGGACAACCCAATAATCTGCCGGAAAAAGATGTTAGTGAGATTGAAGACCATCCGTTGAGAAAGCGAGCCAAGTACCTAGCTCGATGCAAGGACGCCTTATGGTCCCGTTGGACTAACGAATACCTGCGAGGTCTCAGAGAAAGACATGATCTTCGAGGTGGGGAAATGGCAAATATCAAAATTGGTCAAGTCGTACTTATCAAAAACGATGAGCGAAATCGCGGCAAGTGGAACCTAGGTGTTGTTGTTAAACCAATTAAAGGTCGAGATGGTGTCGTTAGAGCTGTGCGACTTTGAGCCGGTAAATCCTATCTCGAACGCGCGGGTCCAACAGCTGTGACCGTTGGAGCTGGAATGTGATGATCCTGCAGTGAAGAAACCAGCAGTTACAAAGAATGCAGAAGCAAGGGAGTTCCGACCAAAAAAGAAAGCCGAGAAAGAAGCCGAGAAACTATTCAAGAACATTGCCGATTGTGAACTTGAAAGTTAAACATAGAACTCATAATTTTAAGACGTTGTAGTTGTTCATATTTGATCTCTCCTAATCAAATAGGGGGAGAATCGCAGGGGCGTAACTCCTGGGGGGGGGGGGGG